AATGATGCCGTTCGGGTTAAAGAATGCAGGGGCCACCTACATGAGGTCCATGACTACCATTTTCCATGATATGATACACAGGGAGATCGAAGTATATGTGGATGATGTCATCATCAAGTCCAGGAAAGCCGTTGATCACATGGAAGATCTGAGGAAGTTCTTCAATAGACTGAGAAGGTACAACCTGAAATTGAATCCCGCAAAATGCGCATTTGGGGTTCCAGCTGGAAAATTGCTAGGGTTTATTGTGAGTCGTCGGGGAATAGAACTGGATCCATCAAAAATCAAAGCCATTCAAGAATTGCCACCACCAAAGAACAAGGAGGTAATGAGTTTCTTGGGGAGACTTAACTACATCAGCCGGTTCATAGCCCAATCTACGGTTATCTGTGAGCCGATCTTCAAAATGTTGAAGAAGGATGCCGCCACCAAATGGACTGATGAATGCCAGAAAGCTTTCGACAGAATCAAGGAATACTTATCAACACCACCAGTCTTGGTTCTGCCTGAGCCAGGTAGACCTTTGCTACTCTACATCGTAGTTTTAGATGGTGCCTTCGGTTGCGTCCTAGGGCAACATGATGAAACGGGGAAGAAGGAGCAAGCCATTTATTATCTCAGTCAGAAGTTCACCCCATACGAGGCCCGGTATTCTCTGTTGGAACGCACCTGCTGTGCTTTGACTTGGGTGGCTTAGAAGCTGAGGCACTATTTTTGTGCCTATATTACGTATCTCATATCAAGGATGGACCCATTGAAGTACATCTTTCAGAAGCCCATGCCCACTGGCAAGCTAGCCAAGTGGCAAATCCTGCTGAGTGAATTCGACAGTGTCTACGTGACTTAAAAAGCAGTCAAGGGATAGGCACTAGCGGACCATCTCGCCGAAAACCCTGTGGATGGAGAACACGAGCCCCTAAAGACGTGTTTTCCGGACGAAGAGGTATCATTCATAGGAGAAGACATTGCAGAGTCCTATGATGGGTAGAGGATGTTTTTCGACGGAGCAGCAAATTTCAAAGGAGTTGGCATATGAGCGGTCCTATTATCAGAAACCGGCTAGCATTATCCGGTATCTGCCAAACTCAGGTACCCGTGCACCAACAACTTGGCCGAGTACGAGGCCTGCATCTTAGGGCTCAAAATGGCCATTGACATGAATATCCAAGAGCTGCTAGTAATCGGGGATTCAGACTTGCTCATACATCAGGTTCGAGGAGAATGGACGACCAAGAATTCCAAGATACTCCCATATCTGCACCATGTGCAGGAATTGAGAAAGAGGTTCACAAAGACAAAGTTCCAGCATGTTCCAAGAATCCAGAATGAGTTCGCCGATGCATTAGCCACCCTGTCATCTATGATAAAGCATCCAGATACGAACTTCATTGATCCCATCCCAGTAAAGATCCATGATCAGCAAGCTTACTGTGCTCATGTCGAGGAAGAAGCGGATGGAAAGCCTTTAAGCGCAGAGATTGCAAATACTACTCCATGATCAGCCAGCTTACTGTTTCATGACATGAAGGAATATTTGGCAAAAGGGGAATACCCAGAGATTGCAAATACTACTCAAAAGCGCACACTTCGGAGGTTGTCAAATAATTTCTTTCACAGTGGAGGGATCATGTATAGGAGGACTCCGAATTTGGGATTACTAAGGTGTGTCGACGCAAAAGAAGCATCCAGACTGCTAGAAGAAATCCATGCCGGGACCTGTGGACCACATATGAACGGTTTTGTCTTAGCCAAGAAGATACTCCGGGCAGGTTATTTTTGGATGACTATGGAGACGGACTGCATCTAGTATGTCCGAAAGTGCCACCGCTGTCAGATACATGCCGACATGATAAAGGTGCCTCCAAATAAGCTTAATGCAACAAACTCGCCATGGCCGTTCGCCGCATGGGGAATGGATGTTATTGGACCAATCGAACCTGCCGCATCAAACGGGCACAGGTTTATCCTAGTAGCAATTGACTATTTCACCAAATGGGTTGAAGTAACATCTTACAAAGCAGTGACTATAAAAGTCGTGATGGATTTTGCCCGCGACCGCATTGTTTGCTGATTCGGAATTCCAGAGTCAATCATTAGTGATAACAGTTCCAATCTCAACAGTGACTTGATGAAGGCTATGTGTGAAACCTTCAAGATCAAACACAAGAACTCCACAGCTTACAGGCCTCAGATGAATGGAGCCGTGGAAGCTGCCAATAAAAACATCAAGAAGATACTAAAGAAAATGATAGAGAAGCATAAGCAATGGCATGAGAAGCTAGCATTTGCTTTATTGGGATATCGCACCATAGTCCGCACATCAACTGGGGCAACCCCCTATATGCTGGTTTATGGTACGGAAGTAGTCATTCCCGCCGAGGTAGAAATTCCCTCCCTAAGGATCATACAGGAAGCAGAACTCGACGATGCAGAATGGGTAAAGAGTCGTTACGAGCAGCTGGCTCTTATAGATGGTAAAAGAATGAACGCAGTTTGCCATGGTCAGCTTTATCAGAACAGAATGTCCAGAGCCTTCAACAAGAGAGTCAAACCAAGACAGTTCACAACGGGGTAGCTGGTGTTAAAGAAGATTTTTCCACATCAAGATGAAGCCAAAGGGAAGTTCTCTCCCAACTGGCAGGGTCCATACATGGTTCATCGGGTTCTGACAGGAGGAGCCCTTATACTTGTAGAAATGGACGGAGAAGTTTGGCCAAAACCGATAAATTCAGATGCAGTCAAGCGATACTATGTGTAACCATTTCTGATTTCTTATGTAATTTGAACTACGCCTGACCTGATTCCCGCTTAAAAGGGGATACATAAGCAGCTTTATGGGTTCGGTCACAATTCAATAAAATTTTCATTTCCCCCCGCGATTGGAAACTGGGGCAGAATTTTGAGGAGGACCCTCAAACTTCCGAAGTTGATTTCAGCCATTTATTGTTAGCAACCGTCATAAGCAGCAGCCCAGCAAACTAGGGCAGAATTTTTAGGGGGACCCTCAAAATTCCGTAACAAGAGAAGTTGCAATGTCGTGGACCACGTCTCAGTCGTTGGTTCATTTAAAGAAAACTATTCTTAACTATGTATTTATGCTATATTTTACTAAATCATGCATGTCTATCACCAATAGTGCTCTGTTTAGCAACGCTACCCCAAGGATACACACAGTATCACCAAATCAGAGCCGAGCAGGTCGAGCAAAGTCAGCGGGGATACAAACTAACCTTTCCCCTTTGCAAAACTCACGATTTTTCTATGGATGCAGGTACCCAAGTCGCAAAATCATCAAACATATTTATACAACTCATACTTTTCAGGAATGCAACTCTCAGAACCACCGCACCTATTCACGGTCACTATCCTTGCACAATATCCCCAGCAACTACAATATTGCAATTAGCTATCAGCTAAGAAACTCTATTACTATTCACTTTTTTATACTCTCCATTGCATATGGCTACCATTCTGCCATCCGAGACTAAGCTCTGTCTCCATCTGCATTCTCTGTATTTCATAAAGCTACCATTCTGCCTTCCGAGACTAAGCTCTATCTCCATCTGCATTCTCTGCATTGCATAAAGCTACCATTCTGCATTCCGAGGTTAAGCTCTACCTCCATCTGAATTCTCTGCATTGCATAAGGCTACCATTCTACCTTCCGAGGTTAAACTCTACCTCCATCTACATCCTCTACATTGCATAAGGCTACCATTCTACCTTCCGAGGTTAAGCTCCACCTCCATCTGCATCCTCCGCATTGCATAAGGCTACCATTCTGCCTTCCGAGGTTAAGCTCTACCTCCATCTGCATTTCCTGCATTGCATAAAGCTACCGTTCTGCCTTCTGAGGTTAAGCTCTACCTCCATCATTTCATGGCTGAAAGATCGCCACCTTTATTTATGTCTTCCATTGGCTGAAAGATCGCCACCCTTATGTATCTCTCGCATCGGCTGAAAGGTCGCCACCCTTATTTACATACTGCATGGCTGAAAGATCGCCACCTTTATTTATGTCTTGCATCGGCTGGAAGATCGCCACCCTTATTTACAGCCTGCATGGCTGAAAGATCGCCACCTTTATTCATGCCCAGCATGGCTGAAACATCGCCACTTTCATCTGCATCTTGCATGGCTGAAAGATCGCCACTTTTATTTACGTCTTGCATCGGCTGAAATATCGCCACTTTACTTACGCTCTCATAGGCTGAAAGATCTCCACCTATCGCATTGCATGGGCTGAAAGATCACCAAACTATCCAAGGGCGTCATTGTTCGGAGGCACCATCTTCATAGCCCGAGAACGCCATGCCATGGCCTGAGGACCCCTTT